TCTATACTGGGTGCTGTTTTAGCAACACATTGGTTTAGAACACACTGACTGTTAACAGCTACATTTTTCTTTAGCTATAATTACATATTCTAATTTGCCAAATGAGGCAAAGCAATCTGTGTCATGCTAACGTTAATCTAGCTAAACGAACAAATAGAAGAACAAAAGAACAAATAGAAGAAAGAAACAAAAAGTCAACAAGAACAAACGTTATGGATCAAAATGACAAACAATTAACGACAAACGCTGCAACAGTTTGCATTTTTACGTTGTCTGCGCTGCTGATGTTAAATTAAAGTTTGTAGCTTACATACAGTTTCAATATGTTTCACCACAAATGCTACCAAGATGAATTCCTGTCCGTGTATTGTAGCTGCCGATTATATTTTGACCCCTCTGTTCTCTGGGACAAGCAGTGATGAATAAAACTATTTGGAACAGCAGCAATACTAATGTTTCAGAGGTAATTGAACAATAAATCCAACACGCTTTAGGCACTACAAACCTCCAGCATATTGCCGTGCTGGACATGTGTGTTTTGCCAAACCATTTGTCCATTTAGTAATTACCCCGCAAGTCAAACAAAGTGGATGGCCTATAAAATGGAAGACAGTGTAATCCGGAGGACGCTCTGCCCCTCACTAAATAATAAACCCATCTAATCGAGTTTGCAAGACTGCAGCATTTATATCTGCGCGCGGCTGTGTGATGAAGTGGAAGACACGTCTTTCCGGACTCTGCACCTTTTCCCATCCCACGTTGCCGCCGTTGAAATGCGGCCCTGTGACAGCACCGAAGAGCTATACGTGCATCAGTTAATTAGACTTGTGAATGAGTCAGTTTTAGACCATCTTCCTGCTCTTTGTTGGTCCACCCCTTAAATTGAAATGAGAATTACAATACGGGCAGATGAGTAATTAGTCTGAGCCGGACGGAATCCCCACTCGCTTAACGGAATCAAAGAGAAGAAAAGATGATGGATTGTGCACGTCTATTTATGTGTGTGTGTGGGAGACAGAGTGAGAAAGAGAAATGAAGACGGAGGCTTTAATCGTGTTCCACTGTCCTGAGAGGAGGGCTAAGTGCATTATCACTATTGTGTCAGCAGTGCAGTTTTCACGTTGGGACCAGTATGGAATGTGTAGAATGTGTTCTTCAGGCTCAGAGCAGATATTGAAGCTGCCGTCTAAACTCAATCAGAGGCAGATAATATAACAATGCTTTATGTTTTTCGCCCGTGTTATCAAAAAATATATAAATAAATAAAGGAACAAGACGGCCCCGCACAGCACAGTGGACTCTGACAGTGGAACATCCTTTAGAAAGACCAAAAATAAATAATGCTGCAAAATGATTTTGCTGTCTCGGGTGCAGTGAGGAATTATTAAAAATATCAGGTTTATAAGCAATGTTACCTCTAAGCCAGCGGTCCCCAACCTCTTTTGCGCCACGGACCGGTTTATGCCCGACATTATTTTCACGGACCGGCCTTTAAGGTGTCGCGGATAAATACAACAAAACAAAACTAGTACCGGTACCGAAAAAAAGAAGATTTATTCATAACACACGTGAAAAGACCCAGGAAAACCGAGTTAACGATAAAAACAATAACAAAATAACGCTGAAAACCGATAAAAACCCTGAAAAAAATACATTTCACACCTGAGCCTCAACTCTCACGGCCCGGTACCAAATGACTCACGGACCGGTACCGGTCCGAGGCCCGGGGGTTGGGGACCGCTGCTCTAAGCTGCGCGCATGCGCAATTGTGCACTGCTGGCTCGGTCTCTGATCACAGAAAATCTGCGTTGCGCACACAAAAAAAATCTAACCTGAATTGAAATTAAAATTAATACTTTAACAATTCTGTTTTTTAGTGTTAGTCAATAAGTGACTGACTGCTCCTGTATGGGATTAGAACGATGCCGCCTTATCCCATAGTCCAGCCAATAATGTGATTCACATTCGTATATACGCAGCTAATCAACGTCGTCGGCAGGCTGTTTTAGCTAGCAAAGCGGCGTTGCTGATGTGGAGTGAAGCCACGTTTCCTATTGGTTGAAAAATGTACTATGCGGACCAATCAAAAAATGATATGGCAACATGGCATTTAGTTGTTTAGGAAGGGGGGGAGTTTTAGGTGACGGCGGTGTTTTGAGATTTGAGAGATTTGGGACATTTAGCGCAAATCTTGTGTAGTTAGTGTGTAGTGTAGTCAATAGTTTTGTTGTGTGTGTCAGAACCATGAGGCGACTGCTGAATGTTACAGGTTGGCTGCATTTTTAGGTAAACAGCTGCAAAAACTTTGTTGTTTGCATAACTCAGTTACTTTTTTGAAGAAGTAACTATATAATTCATTTCCTTTAGAGCTTTATTTAAAAAAAAAAAAAAAAAAGAAAGTTGTGTTTTCAAAATTGGAGTTCAAGTTTCAACTTCCAACAGTGTTAACATACTACACAGGTCATGAACAAGATTTTTTTTAATTTTCATTGTAAGTGGGCTAAAGCACTTATTATTTTAATAAACCATGAAACTTGGATAGATTCGATGCTGGCGTGACCACAGTGCACATGTCTGCTGTCACTCACAGTGGTCCAAAGGATCGCTCAGAGAGTTTGTGTGTTCGCTCAGACACATGAAAAATTAGAGGGAACATTGTTTATAAGGGTTACAAAATTCTTCATATTCGAGCGTCCATTATAACGCCTTTGAACGTTAGTCAGGTCACATAATCGCATCGCGTCTACATTACCTCTCTTGAAATGATGTGTCAATTTGGCGTTAGATTTCTTTCAAATTCAAATCCTTCCAGGGAAATGAGATCGTTTCTCACGCATAACTCTCAGCATCAAGGCACAGCGAGTAGTTAATGTGCAGTTAAAAGCTTCAGGAATGCAACTGGAGCCCGTCAATAAACGTTAAGCCTGCCAGTAAGGTTTTGACAGCACGTCTAGAGTTAGGTTCATTAATGGTCTCAAGCTTTTTTTTTATATACTTCTCCTTAAAATGACTCTGAACTGAGCAACTTGTGTTTTACACCATCACAGCCTAATTGCTCCATGTCTTTGTCACCTCCCTGTTGTTATTCTGTGCACTTAATATGAACAGCTGAAAAAGACTAAGAGGCGACAATGGTGAACATGTGTTCTTTACATGGGTTCAGCTAAGGGGATCGTAATTACTAAACGTGTAAAAACCTGATAGCAATTCTCGTGTTGTTAAATAACACAAGCAAGCAAAGCTATCATTTCCTATAAAAGGTGTTTAGGAGGCAAAAGGGAAATTTTTTTTAACTAAATTTTAATTAGTAGAGCATCAGGAACATTTCCTAGTCAAAATATAGTGCATTTAAAAACCCAATGATTTTTTTCACTAATAAATGAGCCTAGCCTAGTTGACTGCCTTGAGTTGTGCTGTTTCAAAGCTGTACTAATCAATATTTTCATAATACAAACAGGTGAAATATCCAAGTGTAGTTGGGAAGGGATTGTGAATATAGATCCGCAGTAAATTACTGACATTGTGCACTCAGCATCTTAGTCTGTTTGGTTTTGATGTCTACGGTTCTGCAGCACCTCAATAAAAGCTGAACCCTTGTCGGTTTGCCGGTCTGAAGCAGTCAGGTGTGTGTTAACACAATGCCAAGGAGGAAAGACATCTGCATTATTGCTACCCATCAATCTGGGAAACATTACAAAGTCATTTCCATACTAAAAGTTCAAGTCAACTGGAAAACATTCAAGACTGTTGCCAGTCTTCCCAGAAGTGGACGTCACAGCAAACTCCATGGTCAGACCGTGCAACGCTCCGAGAAAGTGGAAAAAAGCCCAAGAGCTACACCGTAGACTCTACAGGCCTCAGTTAGCAAGTTAAATGTTAAAGTTTATGATAGAAAATTTAAAAAAGAGTGAACAAGTATGACTTGTTTGGAGGGGTTGCTGAGTTCTACATGCTACTGAATCACAAGGTACACTTAATTTTACACAGGACTGCTTCTCGAACTGGAAGGTTGTTTTTTTTTCTTTACCCTCATAAATAAAACCTTAGAACTGAGAGAGGGTGCACAAGTATGACTTAAATGGTTTTGATGCATTCTCAATCATCCAGGTAAGAAAACCTCCAAGAGGTTATTCTGTTCATCTGGACGTAGCATTTTCAGTGGGAGAAACGTTTCGTCACTCATTCAAGTGACTTCTTCAGTCTACTTCTTCAGAGACTCAAGAAGTCACTTGGATGAGTGACAAACAATACAATTAGTGCTACATACAACAGCATTTATGAAATATTAGCAACAATCGCTTAAGCTAAGATGCATGGAGATAATAAGAGTAATATATTAAATAGCAATTTATAGAGTAAACTATTAATGTTTACTGGCAAGTTAGGTATAAAAAAATCCAGATAAATGCTAATGTTTCTTAGCGACTAGCTGAAGTATAATTAGTTATTTTTAAGCTATCATTTTGGCTATAGTCAATATGTAAACACTGATTTTTACTGTCTGTTCTGCTCCTTCTAATGGTGCCTTAAATATAAATGTCAGCTACAATGTAACTATCTATCTAGGTACTGTAATAATGCTCCCTGCATTATTTAAATGCTATAATCTAATGAGATACAAGCTCACTTAAAGTGAGCTTTTAAAAATAATAATAATATGTAATCTAATTACTGCTGCACTGTGCACACTACTTGACTGCACTATAACAAACCAGGTTCCTGAAACATCACATCAGCACATCTCTGTGTATGTTTAAACTGGGTAAAAGAAAGCAAGAAAAATTGGGTGCAGCGCTGCTCTCTCCGAGTTCAAAAGCAAATCACTACAGCGCGGTTACCAGCACACCGATGAATTTTGGACACGAATCAAGGAGTGTTTCTCTAATGCGAGCAGCTGTATAGCTAGTCACCTGCGAGAGTACAGCTGACACACACAGGTAGAGTGTACAGAAGATAACCTGACAGGTGTTGGACACACAAACACGTTCACACGCACACACCTGATGCTAGTCATGCTTCCAGTCTCAGAGCCAAGCTTGCATCTCTCCAGCTGACTGGCGACAATCTGTCGTTCGGCTTCCAGCTCCCTGGTCAGACGTTCAAACTGCAGCTCCTAGAAAGAGAAAGAGAGACGGGGAGGGAGAGCAAGAATGTGTCAAAACAATCTGTCTATTTATTTACTGTCACATTTACAGTCATCCTGAGCATTAGTTTGGCTGCGTTCTCGCTGACACATTTTTAATTGTTGTGAAATGGACTCCGCAGTCTGTGGTGGGAAAACAGGCCAGATATCGCTGCGTCTGCCAAGTTTCACACTGCCAGATATTCACAGAGAAGAGTTTGACATGTTGCAAAACTGTGACACCAAACTCAAACCATCACAAATGTGACATTTGCTATTGTGCCACTGAGGAAAGTCATGGAACAGCAGAAGGTTTTGGGGGAGAAGAATTCTGCTATTTTTGACGTATAGTGTCAAAAAAGTTGTAAGCATTACTCTAATACTTGGCTCATCTATGCACTGACACCCGATGGATTTATACCCTGCTGGTAGGCATATGCTGGTTGATATTAATGGAGTGGTGGGAAAAAAGTTGTCAGTCACATCTCACAAAAAAAACATTCATTCCCCCCTCCCCGCCCCCAATTGTTCTAGGATAACAGACAAGAAGGACAACAGCCCTAACTGTGCAGCCAGTGTGACGAAGAACTTCAGTTGCAAGAACATCCCTGGGGAAATGCATGTACCATGTTAAAGCTCTGCACATATGTATCTACGAGGAAATTGTGAATTCCCGCATACTCTAAAAATATGAATATGAAGAAATGGGCCCATTGAGATAAACAGCTGGTGACACCAATTCTCCAGTGGAGTGACATTACACCACTGCAGAAGAGATTGCAGCAAAATGATCCAGTCCAAAGAGCCACAAAGAGGATGTGGAAAACATGATGGACGTAATTTAGTATGTTTTATGTATTTAATTGGATGGTTTTCTATCTTTCCGGCAGACCAGGAGGTTCAATGGTTTTTTTTTAAAGGCCGTGCTTAATGGTTATTTCCACTGCAATTGCGTCACATTAGCTACGTTCACACTGCAGGTCTTAATGCTTAATTCAGATTTTTTGATCAAATCCGATTTTTTTGTCTGCTCGTTCACACTACAAATAAAATGCGACAGTAAACGCGCTCTAGTGTGAACCCTCAAAGCGGCCCGCATGTGCAAAAGAAGACGTCACACACAACGCGCTCTGTTTAGACCCAGAGTAAACAATGGCTGTATCCCAATTCAGGGTCTGCAGCCTTAAAGTACGCAGCCTCAACGATCCTCAAGGGCCGCGTACTCAAAGACCGCTAAGGCCGGAAGTGCGAGGCTTGTGAAATGGGATGGTCTAGCCTCCGTCGCGCTGCCCAGGTTGCCTAGCAACCATGATACTAACAGCTGGAAACGTGCCATTTTATTTTCTTTGTCCTCGCTTAAGGTAAAGTTTCTTTTCATCGGCTTACACCAGGTTTAAACAGCAACTGGGTGGGGTGTCTGTCCTGACATGGTGATATTAGAGACAGCTCCAAATCCAGGAGCAGAAATATTGTTTAATATTTATAGGACTCTAAAGTGTGAGCCTTGGCTCACAGAGAGTCCAGCATTCTAAGAGTATATGTGTCACAAAATAAGGAAAAATGTAATAAATTGTACTTTTCGCTGTTCCCTTATTTGACAAGGGATCGCCACAGCAGATACTTTGGTATATCTGATATGGTGGATACCCTTTCTGATGCCTCCTCAACCTCTTTAATGAGAGTAAAAAGAGGAACGTCACCACACAAAGTCAAAGCTGGAGCTGTTTAAAACTGTCCAGTAGAGGTGTCAGTAGTATGCTTGTACACTGGTGTTTTAAAATATTTGGTTATTATGACTTTCAGCATTGAGAACCAGAACACTGCAGTCCTGTGCAGACAGAAAATATCTTGCTAGTTAAGCAGACTTGACAGCCATGGCACGGATCATGAAGAATACTCTATTAGGGTAATATTTCACTGCCTGGTTTTATAACGCATGGATATTGACTGGTAATAGCAGCAACTAAAATATACAATACAAATTGTCAAAAAATGAACTTGAGTTATATTTTATATCTAAACTCAATGTATATGTTTGGTTTAGGACGCTGGTATCTGTTCAAGGCTTGGATGGCCGCTTAGTGAAACCTATAAGCTCCATTTTAAAAAGTCAAAAAGTTTTCATAAATCACTCGTACGTGCCATTTAAGAGCAAATCTTTTCATTTGGGTGGCTCTTGATAGAGACCTTTTCTTAGGCTTAATTTATGCGTGATGAATAACCACTAATTAGCTGATGTGCCAACAAGCAAGCAGCTGATTAGGATATTTGTGTCTGCTGCTGTGATCATTATAGCTGATTAAATAAACAAAATTTACCAATTTGTGCGAAAGAAAAAAGAAATAAAACAAGAAAGATCAAATTGTTTTGCTGAATCACTCAAATCAAGTGGAGAAGGCACATCAGCGCTCAGCCACTGCAGTGCTGGTTTCAAAGGTATGGTTTGGATCTTTAAATGGCTTTCTGACAGTCCTTTGGCTGGTTCGAGATAATAAAAGTGACATAATTACAATAAGTCATGCCAGACCACAGGATACAATCAATCACTGTTTCCAAGGCAGCGTTTAAATAAAGATGAGCTATTATGAAAGAAATATGCACTCATCAACAAAGGAAGGAAGTGAAGAGAGTGATACAAGCGCACGTACAGAGCCTATTTCTCAGATCCTTTAAGGTTTACAAGTTTTCCATCACCATCATTAACCTTAATTAATTCCCCCCCCCCCCCCCTTTTTTTTTGGTTAGGCTGTGAACCTGGCGGCTGTTGCCTGATGACTAAGACCCTGTGCAGGTAACGACCAACATTCTGTGCAAAGGTCGTTGTTTGCAGCCTGACTACAAATGCAGATGAATGCAGCTAATAAAAAGCTTAATCATCATCAGACGATAGCTGATTGTTTTCAGATTGCAGTTTGGGAAATGCATTCCTCTTGTGGTTTCCACACTCAGTGTTTGGCTGCACATAACCAAACTCACTCAAATGTGACTGATCAGCACTCCGACTGTGCAAACTGAAACCTGAAAGCTTCCGGGACCAAAATGTTCAGCCCTCGTCAGCAAATCCATCATATTCATATGCAAATATCTGTTTACAGGGATTTTTTTCCATCAGTCACCACACAGTACTATAGGAATACGTGACTCCTTGATTAAATCCACCCATACTTAATTAAATTCAGACAATGCATTTAGTAAAGGCGCACACTTCTTTACATACAGTCTTATAGTTGATGGTGCATGTCAGAGTGGATCGGTCTGTCTCAGGGCACAAATGTAGTGAAGGTGACAGTGCCCAAGAGTATAGGTTCATCATTCTCAAATGGAAGAACTTCCTAAATCTGGCAGTCAAACTGAGTAATAGCAGAGGATAACTGTTAGTGCAGCACTCCTCCAATCAGGCTTTGAAGGAAGAGTGGCCGGAGGGAAGCAATTCCTCACTAACAGGTACAAGACAGCCCACTGGTGGTTTGTCAAAAGGCAGCTGATTGGGCTCTTGGGCTATAACAAGAAAAATCCTCTGCCCTGATGAAATAAAAATTGAACTGTTCCACCATAGCTCCCATTGCCATGTGTGGAGAGAGCCGGGTAGTGAGAATCACCTTATTAATGCCATCGATACAGTCGCTCAAAGTGGTGGTTAGGCAGCATCGTGCGGGATGTTTTTCCTGTGACAGAGACTGCAAGAGACCCTTCGGAATAAATACAGAATAATCCCAAGTGAAAACCGTTTTCAGAGGGCTCAGGATACCAAGCTAAGCAGAAGGTTTATATTTCAAGAAGACATTGAAACAAAGCACATCACAGAGAAAACACAAGGGTTGCTTTGGATAACACTGTGAAAATCCTGGAGTTTTGCAGGCACAATCCAGACCTGATGCCAGGAGCAGCTCGGGAGACCTGAAAGCGGCCGAGCACCAACACTCTCATTCCAACCCGGCTGAGCTTAAAGGATTCTGCTGAGAAGAATGGCAGAAACCCCTGAAAGAAAGGATCGTTCCCAAGAAAACTTGAGGCTGTTATTGCTTCCAAAGGGGCCTTAACCAAGACAAGGGCCTGAATACTTATAAAAACTGCACATCTCAGACTTAACACACTCCAAAAAAACAATCCTATAAAGGGGAAGAAAGAAAAATAGCACCCTCTAAAATCTCAATAAGTTTCATTTTGCTCACACAATAACTCAAAAAAAGACCCAGGTGGAGTGCCCAGCAAAATTAAGTTATACAGATTCAGAAAACAAATGCATATCATTAAAAGAGAATAAAAACCAGTCTGCACCCAATGCAGCTTAATATTAGCGTTGCCATTTTTAATGACCTAAAAAAAAGCTTGAAAAGGAACATTAATGCTATTTATAGTGCTAACACAATGCGTATTTTATGGCTAAGAGTAGTGATGGAGAACATAGTGCTGGACTGTGGGAGCGTAAATGCCTAAGATGCCTGAGGCAACTCTAGGCTTCCCACCATAATGATACAATTTGATTATAATGAATCATTAATGTAATAACTTAACAAATCAAATTGCAAATTTCACTGTAATTACGCAACATCTTATTATTAATGGCAACTGGCCAGACATACAGGCGCACACACCAGCATAGAGAAACATATGTGACACAGACACACACACAGGCATACAATGATAATTAAATACATCTGTAAGGATTCTGCAAGTGAGGACACAAACGTTGCACACATCAGTGGGGACATGCTGCTGTGCCTTTGTGCTGGTATCAAGACAAACCAGGCTCAGGGAGGGACAGCCATCTGAGTGATGAGAGGACAAAAAAAACAAAACAAAAATAAAATGAAACAAAAAAACCCCCCAAACAAACAAAAAACACACTGTGGAAGAAAGACAGATAAATAAATATTAACTAATCAACATTACACCATTTTAATACCATTCAAACTATTCAATGAACCCTTGTGCATGGTGGATGGGGCTGTGGGATTAATGTTGATCGCTATATGTATTTGCAGTGACCC